GGGCCGGGGGGGGCGGGGGGGGGCTGTGGTTGAGACCCCCACCCCGCCCCAATCCCCAAGCTCCCCGGGCCCGGAGCGCCGCCGCACCCGTCCCCCAGCACGTTATTGCTTCGTTAATGGTGGCGGGGGGGCTACGGGGGCCTCACTGCCTGCTGGTCTCCTGCTCCACTTTGATTGTACCCCGAGGGGGGTCTGGGGGGGCCGCAGGACCCCGTTCCGCCAGCCCATCCTCGAACTCTGCGGGGAGAACACGGAGACGGCGTCAGGACGCGATTCCACAGCAGCAAAGCAGCGGTGCCGCCCCGACCCCTGCCCGCGGCAAAGCCCCCCCAGCCCCGAGGGGGGCTCACCTGGTCCCGGGGGCTTCCCCGGCAGGCAGGGGCTGAGCCGCCCCACGCGCTCGTGCGACACCAGCCGGGCCAGGCGCAGCCCCTCGTCCATCAGCGTCTGCTGGAGGATGTGGCGGCTCCAGAGCCCGTGGGGCGCCAGGCCGAGGGGCACGTCCGGGGCCGCACCGGGCGGAGGGGTCAGCCGGGGACAGGCCCCCGCCGCTGCCGAGAGAGGGGCGACAATCAGCGCGAGGAGCAGGGGACCGGCCACCACCAGCTCTCCAGAAGGGGACAGACCCCTACTCACCCTGCAAGTGGCCGTCGAGGCTCTCCCCGGAGAGGCTGCCCGTGTCCTCCTCCAAGCTGGCTCGGTACCCGGCCCCGGGGGGCTCCAGCCCCACCGGCAGCGCCAGGAGCTCCGGGCGGCTCTGCTCTCCCGCCTGCCAGGAGCACTCAGGTGAGCAGGGCCCCTGCACCACCCACCCCACAACGCCCCCGGCCGTCACCCCAGGCTGGCACGGGCAGCCCCGGGCACGTCGCGCCCACGCTCGCAGGTGTGCACACCTGCACACGCTGCCCCTGCACCTGCACCCACCTCCTGCTTGAGCCGCTTGGCCACGACGGCACCGCCATCCTCGGGATGGGCCCTGGGGGTGGGAAGGGGCTGTGTCAGGCGTGGGGGTGGCCACAGCAAGGCCCCACGCTGTGGGCAGAGCCACCGGGCAGGGCAATGCCAGGAGCTGGGGCTCTGGCACGGATGGAATTGGGGGCAGAAAAAGAGGGAAGCAGCTGGAGAGCAAAGGGAAAAGGCAGCCCTGGCACGGTGGGCAGGGGACTTTGGGGATGGAGGCAAGAGATAGGGCATCCCCAACGGCATCCCTTTGCTGCCTGGCATCCCTTCCCACGCCTGGCATCCCTGTCATTCCCATCCTCCCCACGTCCCACGCTCCGAGGTCGGGCAGAATCCACCCACGCTGGCAAAGGGGAACTGGGGGCCGCAGGGTCCTGGCCCCATCCAGAAGAGCCGGATCATGCTGCATCTCCCGGGGGTGACACCCAGGCCCCCCCAGGCCTACAAGGGGGGGATTTTCCAGGTCTGGGCTCACCTGGCGACCTTGAGCGAGGACAGGTAGGTGCTCTCCCGTGCCACCTGCCGCGACAGCGAGAAGAGCTCGACGCGCCGCAGCAGCAGCGAGTTGTCCCGCAGGCAGAACTGGGCGGCCGCCTCGTTGATGATGAGCTGGGGGCAGAGATGATGCGTGAGCGGGGACAGGGACGGCAGCACCCACGGGACAGCAGCGCCCACACAACCCTCAGCTGAGGCTCCACGCTGGCAGATGCCACCCGCGTGGGAGGAGACCTCGATTCCCACCCACTCACCACACCCCCAGAGCCACCCCAGTCCCCGTCCCAGCCAGGAACTGCAAGCACGGAGCTCACCTCGTGCAGGGTGAGCTGCTTGCCCTCGCGGCGCCGGGCCTCGCCGCGGCCGTAGATCGCGCTGTGCCGGCGGATCTCCTCCTCCTTCTGCCGGTCACCGTCCTCCAGCTGGAAGATGTGCCCCACAGCCTTGGCCAGCTTCTTGTTGAGCTTCATCAGCGCCCTCAGCTCGGCCTCGCCGCCCCGGGGGCAGCTCTGCAGCAGCCTCTCCACGCTCTCCACCACCGTCCGTGCCAACTCCGGCTCCAGCTCCGTGCCCACCGCCTGCTCCCCGCTGCTCCCGCCCGGGGAGAAGGGGGGACCCCCCGGCTCCTCATCCCCTCCGCCCTCCGACTCGGGGGTGCTCCTCCCCGGCCACGGCGGAGCCGCTGACGGCGACAGCTTCTCCCCTGGCTCCGTGGGGCTGCGGGCTGGGGGCGTCCCGGCGCTGCCACCCCCCTTGCCCGCGGCCTCGCCGGGGCTGGCGTGCCCGTTGCTGAGCGCCTTGCGCCCGCCGGCCTCGGAGAGCTTGAAGAGCGGGATGCTGCTGACCGGGACGGCCGAGACGGGCTGGCTGAAGAGCCCCGGGTTGGAGGCCCACTCGCGCAGGGCCTTCTGGAGGCGGCGGACGTGGAGGGGCTTGGTGGCCATGCCCACCAGCGCCATGATCTCCAGGAACTCCTCCTCGCCCGCCTCGCAGAGCTGCTGCACGTCGTCCCCCCCTTGCTGGATGAAGGTCTCGTAGTAGCCCAGCAGGTTGGCGCGTTGCAGCACCCGGTACAGCTGCAGCTCCCCCAGCGTGCGGGGCAGGGCCATGGCGAGCCTGCGGTGGACAGAGGACAGACGGACTCACCACCGGGATGGACGGACATGCGGGAGAAAGCCTCTCCCCACCCTTAGGCCTTGGGGGTACAGGGCAGAGGGAGCATTCCTGTGTATGGGTGCTCCAGTGTCCCTAAACCCCACGGGGCACCCATGTGCTCCAAACTGGGACGGTCCCCGCAGCCACAGCCCCTGGACATGGCACAGACACGAGTGGGGTCACCCTCACCCCAGCCCCTACCTCGGGCTGTGCCCCACCCCATGCCAGGTCCTCACATGGGGCACGACATACATCTGGGGGCTTCCCCCAGCCCCCCATCCCCGGGGTGATGTGCCAGTGCCGATCCCACCACGACCAACATCCCCCCTGCCCTGCCCTGCCCTGCGGTCCCCTGTGGATGCCACCAGGGCCATCCTCCCCTGGTGACCCCGCCCCGCTCGGTGCCCCCATCCCCACCCCGGTCCCACCAGGGCCATCCTCCCCCAGCGTCCCCGCCCCTGCCCGGTGCCCTGCAGCGCCCCGAGCCCACCCTGTGCCCCCAACCCCCCCCCTCCTTCCCACCCCCCCCCCCTCCCCCCCCCCCCCCCCCCCCCCAAACCGGCACCGGAGCGGCGCCCCGCACGGCGGCACCGGGGGTCCCGCAGCCCCGGGGGTCCCGCAGCCCCGGCAGGGACACGCGTGGCACCGGGGGGGGGGTCCGTGGGAGAGGCAGGAGCCCCCGAAGGGGACGCGGGGCTCGGTGTTGGCGTGGACGCCGCGAATCCCGGCAGCGCTCGCAGCATCGCCGGTCCCGGTGACAGCGCGAGCGGGCGCGGGGATGCTCCGGGTACCGGGACCGCTGTCCCGGCAGTGCCCCCCCGGTGCTACCGAGGGGCTGGCGCTCGGTGTCACCGGCACGCACACGCTGCCGTCGGTGGGCTCCGCGGGCAGCAGCGGCAACGGGAGCGGACGGAGCTGTGGCCTGGGGGGATGCTGGAGCCCCCCCACCCGCAGCACCGGGAGGGACGGGCGGGGTGTCACGGCCCCGGTGCGGCCCTGCGTGGCTCGGTGCTATTTATACCGCGGCCGGCGCCTGGCGTGGGGCCAGAGCCGCCCCCGCGCGATGCTGCCCGGGTGTCCGGGGCACATCCCGGCGGAGCAACCGGCGGAGCAACCGGGGCATCCCGCACGGGCGCGCTGCCCATGGCGGGGGTCCTGCCCCAACCCTCCCGGTTCACCCCCCCCGTTCACGACCCCCCCCCTCGATTTTCTCCACGACCAAGCTGTCCGGCGCGGCGGGGCCGTTCCCAGCCCCGGCGCTGCCCCCGGCTGACGCACATCCTCCGCCCACGGCCCCGCCGCTTCCCCGCTCCGCCGCCCACGGCCCGCGGAGGGGGAGCGGGGGGGCCGCCCGAGCCCGCTCCCGCTGCCCGCCCACGGGCGGCCGCCGCCCCTCGGTGGGGAGCGGGGAGCGGGGGGGATCCAGGCGGAGAGCGGCACCCCCTTCCCGGGGTGCGGCACGGGCGGGCCGAGCCGAGCCGAGCCGGGCCGTGGGGTGCGGGATGCCCTCCGCGCCGCGGGGCCGGTGGGACCGGCGGGACCCGGAGCCCGGGCTCGGTGGGACCCGGGATCGCCGGTTCGGTGGGACCCGGGCTCGGTGGTGCCGGTGGGACCCGGGATCGCCGGTCCGGCCGCCACGTGGGCGGGGCCGGGCCAGCGAGGGGCGGGACCTGCGCGCCCCCCACGCGTGACCCATTCACACAAACAACGCCAGGCCGCGCCCTGATAGGCGGAGGAGGTTGTCAATCACAAGGGGTATAAATGAAGGTGGAGGGCGTGGCTTGTGGCGCCTGCGTTTTGATTGGTTGAGGGGCGTGTCTGTCAGAGCCGTTACCAGGGAGGGGCGTGGCTGTGGCGTAAATGGCGGGCATGTTGGTCACCGTGGTAACCGAGGGCGGGAGCATAGCTGCTTCCTGCACGCGCATTGCTGATAGGCTAAAAATACTGTCAATCAACGCGGCAGCAGCAGAGCTGCGTTTTGATAGGTTAAATTAGCTGTCAATCAACGACAAAACCCGGCGAGCGCGTCTCCTATTGGCTGTGAGTGCTCCTCGGCGGCCGGGCCGGGCGGCGGAAGCGGAAGCGGCCGGCGCAGCGGCGGCGGGAGGGATGAAACCGGCTCCGGGGCGGCGGCGGCGGCTCCCGGCACTGCCCGTGCTGCTCTTGCTGTTCCTGCCCTTCCTGCTCCTGCAAGCTGCAGGTGAGCGGGGCAGCGGCGTCCCTGGCCGGGCGGGGAGCGGCGCGGCGGCAGCCCCCGGGGCAGCATGGCGGCACAACGGGACCGGCGGGCCTCGGCGATCTGCCCGGTGCCCGCCGCACCCGCAGGGAGCCCTCTGAGCGCTTTGCGGGGTCTGCACGCTCAGGGGGCCGGTGCGGCAGCGGGGTTTCGTGTCCCGCTGTGCCGATGCCCCGGTGCCTCCGGGAGCCGCTTCACCTCGGGGGGCTCGGTGCGTGCCGGGGCACGGTTTGTGTCGCGGAGGGTTTGGAGCTGGGAGTGGAGCCACGTGGGGTTATCCCGGAAAAGAACCGGAGGGTGAACTCCAGGGAAAACAGCGGAAAACCCGCGGGGGATGCGGCGGAGGGGAGGGGAGGGCTGGGCGGGGGAAGCCGAGGGCGGCAGGGACTGAACTCTCCCTGTGCTCCTGCCAGGCCCCAAGGATGCCGTGATCCCGCTGCTGGACGGGCACGACTCCCAGCACGGGGAATCACAGCGGTTCTGCTACAGCAACACGCGCCCGCCGCGGTGGAACGACGTGTGGACCAGGACACAGGTGAGAGGGGAGGAGGAGGAGGCAGATCCTCCCTGCTCCAGCCCTTCCATCCATCCATCCATCATCCATCATCCATCATCCATCCATCATCCATCCATCATCCATCCATCATCCATCATCCATCCATCCATCCATCATCCCTCCATCCATCCATCCATCCATCCATCCATCATCCATCCATCCATTCATTCATCCATCATCCATCCATTCACAGAGTCACTGGGTTGGAAGAGAACTTTCAGATCATCAAGCCCAGCCCAAACAGCTCCACTCAACCCTGGCCCCCAGAGGCACACCCAGGCTTGGTTAAACACACCCGGGGATGGTGACTGCACCACCTCCCCGGGCAGACATTCCAGAGCTTTGTCACTCTTTCAGTAAAAGCTTTTCCCTGATGTCCAACCTGAATTTCCCCTGGTGCAGCGTGAGGCTGTGTGCTCTGGTTCTGTCAGTGCTGCCTGCAGAGAGAGCCCAACCCCAGCTGAGCACAGGCACCTTGCAGGGAGTGTGGGGAGTGATGAGGGCACCCCTGAACACAAATCCCTGGGGCAGAACCAGCTCCTGAGGCAGGAATTCCTGGGGAAGAACCAGCTCCTAAGACAGGAATTCCTGGGACAAACCAAGCTCCGAGGGCAGAATCAGGTCCTGGGGTAGGACCAGCTTCAGGAACACAAATCTCTGGGGCAGAACCACCTTCTGGGGCGGGAATTCCTGAGGCAGAACCAGCTCCTGAGATTGGACCAGCTCCTGGAACGCAAATCTCTGGGGCAGAACCAGGTTCTGAGGCTGGACCAGCTTCAGGAACATGAATCCCTGGGGCAGAACCAGCTCCTAAGACAGGAATTCCTGGGGCAGAACCAGCTCCTAAGACAGGAATTCCTGGGGCAGAACCAGCTCCTAAGACAGGAATTCCTGGGACAGACCAACCTCTCAAGGCAGAACCAGCTCCTGGGGCAGAACCAGCTCCTGGGGCAGGACCAGCTCCAGGAACATGAATCCCAGGACAGAACTGCAGCTCCTGGCACACAAATCTCTGGGGGCAGAACCAGTTGCTAATACAGGAATTCATGGGGCAGAACAAGCTCCTAGGACAGAACCAGCTCCTGAGGCTGGACCAGGTGCTGGTACACAAATTTCTGGGGCAGAACCAGCTGCTAAGACAGGAATCCCTGGGACAGAACCAGCTCCTGGGCAGGACCACCTTCAGGAACATGAATCCCAGGACAGAACCAAGTTCTGAGGCTGGACCAGCTTCAGGAACATGAATCCCAGGACAGGACCAGCTCCTGGGGCAGGAGCCCAGGGGCAGGACCAGCTCCTGGGGCAGGAGCCCAGGGGCAGGACCAGCTCCTGGGGCAGGAGCCCAGGGGCAGGACCAGCTCCTGGGGCAGGAGCCCAGGGGCAGGACCAGCTCCTGGGGCAGGAGCCCAAGGGCAGGACCAGCTCCTGGGGCAGGACCAGCTCCAGGAACATGAATCCCAGGACAGAACTGCAGCTCCTGGCACACAAATCTCTGGGGGCAGAACCAGTTGCTAATACAGGAATTCATGGGGCAGAACAAGCTCCTAGGACAGAACCAGCTCCTGAGGCTGGACCAGGTGCTGGTACACAAATTTCTGGGGCAGAACCAGCTGCTAAGACAGGAATCCCTGGGACAGAACCAGCTCCTGGGCAGGACCACCTTCAGGAACATGAATCCCAGGACAGAACCAAGTTCTGAGGCTGGACTAGCTTCAGGAACATGAATCCCTGGGGCAGGACCAGCTCCTGGGGCAAGAGCCCAGGGGCAGGACCAGCTCCTGGGGCAGGAGCCCAGTCTCTTTTCCATTTCTCAGCCCCCCTGTCCCCCTCTCCCCGCAGATCCGCGTCACCAGCAGCCGCATGATCCGCGTCACCCAGGTGGACAGCGAGGAGGAGCTGGAGAAGTTCAGCGTGTGGAACGTGCTCTTCTCCTTCCTGAGGGGCAAGCTCAACGACACCAGCATCGATGTGGATCTCTACAGCAACAAAACCTGCCTCAAGGTCGAGCTGCTGGAGCCTGGCACCACCTACTCCGTGGTCCTCCTCCGACGTACGTCCCCTCCCCGCTGGGGAAAGGGGGCCCGGGGCTACCCAGGGGACAGCAGGACAGGGCAGCTCATGATCCAAGGAGCTGTTCCTTCCTCAGGAAGGGAATTTGGTGTGCAGAAGGAATTTGGGGCACTTGGAGGCCCAATCTCTGTCCTGTCACCCTGTGGCAGGTGGGAGCTTCCTGCCGTGCCCCTCTCCACTGGGATGATTTTTTTTTTCCAGGTTTTGACCCTAAGCTGTTCCTTGTTTTCTTCCTGGGCCTGCTGTTGTTCTTCTGTGGGGACACACTGAGCAGGTGAGCCCCCTCCTTTCCCTGGGGGCTCCTGGGTGGGGCTGTTTGTGCACAGGTACCCATAAAACACCTGCTGTGATTGATTCCCTGCGTGGTCATTGCAGGAGCCAAATCTTCTACTACTCAGCTGGGATCAGCGTGGGCTTGTTGGCCTCGCTGCTTGTCCTCGTCTACATGATGTCCAAGGTCATGCCCAAGGTAGGTGTCACATTTTGAGGGGGTCAGAAACCTCATAGCCCTGTCCTGGGTTTGGTACAGAGCACCTCAGCACGTGGGGGAGGTATCCACAGCCCACCTGCAACCCCTCTGTGCTCCCCTAGAAAAGCCCTGTGTACTTCCTGCTGGTTGGAGGTTGGTC